CTTACAGGCAGACAATAAGCACAAAGTCGCTTACAGGCGTTTGGATAATACAACAAATCAAAATTGCAACCTAAATTTTGGATAATACTTTGTTTCAAATTACAAACAAAACAAAAAAAACCCATAATAAACCCTAAAAAGTGGTACGAATTCGTCTCGCCTAATCTCTATCACATGATCAAAAACACAGTATGGTTCCTCAAAATCTCTGATTTACCATAATTCTTCATGACGTTCCAATAAAGAGTAATAATTACAGAGATCTAAATGTTTTATCTATATGAGAAACAAGTCCCTGTGGTTCACAGTTTCATCATACGCCTACACTTAAAAAGAGGACAATCTGGCTTTATATCACCAAATCCAAGATTCAGAGCTCTTGTTCTCTGATTTAGTGGGATCCAAATATCAAAACACCCAAAAAGCTGCTACTATCTGTTTACCGTCGAGTAAAGAAGAAGCCAAGAGAGTTGCACAAGGAACCGTGAGACGTCATTAGCTTCCAAAAGGCTGTCAACGGCTAAGAAGAAACCGCCTTTTGAGAGTTTTGGTGCGGTCATATGTAGATAGGTTWAATATCATTAGGTCCAAAACTTGCTGAACATGTTGGACACTTTCGCTGTCGAGTTCCTGTGAGCTTTTGCACACATGGGTTGCAAAACAAATGGTAGCATTTCGTGATCACAACCTAAGTTTACCAAGACAAATACCAAAACTAATCAGAGCATGCACGCAGTTGATTGAAGACCCAAACAAAATCGTGATTTGCAGCGAGTCTTTACCTCTTTTGGGCGATCGTTGCAGGCCTTGCACTTCAAAATTTCTTTGAATTCACTAAGTTCTTGCCGGAGCTTTTGAATGGCCGATGATCCTTCTTTCAGAGATCGAAGACGAGAAACTTTCTTTTTGGCTATTTCCATTTCCTCCTCTATCCTCCTCCGATTGTACCTAATACATGCAGAGAAGAGATTGGTAAGTTCATCACCAATACTTGTTTATGACTATAAGGACGGAGAAGAGGGAGGGAGTAATTGGTTTACCTTTCGATTTCTAGTTCCAGTTCCAACGCCCCAAAATCCACCCGACTTTGCTCAACTTTGGAATGTGACTCGTCCAGCCTTGACCTAGCTTGCTCCAACCCATTCCCAATATCTGCTCGTTTCTTTTGCAGGTTTTCAAGAGTATCAGACTTTTGATATCTATCTGCGGCTAGTTTCTGAACCTGATCTATGCAGAACCTCAACTGCAAGAAAAACAACTTGTACTCAAACTCAAAATAAGGAATGGTTTACGATTTGAGTATACTGGCACACAGATTTGGCATCAAAATATACCTGATCTTCAATTCTTGAGGATTTCTTGGAGAGGAAACTGGCAGATGCACTGGCTTGCTGAATATCCTTATCCATGATGTATTTATCGATTAGCAGAGCATCTTGCATCTGCCTTGAAGTTACGCTTTCCAAGAAAAGCTGAAACAACAATGGACGAGAAAAAAAGACATCTCATAGTCAGATCCAAGAAACAAACATCCTTTACAAATCTTTTACACGATATTATAACAACAAAAATTGGTCCATGCTCATTAAGAAACTCCATCAGTCTCTAACTAAGATTAACACTGGCAGATATACGTTTTAAGTGTGAAGTTACTGAGATAACTCAGATAAAGGAAAAATAAGAGTTTGGAATAACACCTTGATGTTATAGTCATCCCTCTCTGTAACTTGAAGCAAAAGCTGTTGGTTTTGTGGTACAATGTCCTCGTAGGCACTTCCAATTGTCTAAAAGAAGATAGTTACTGTAAATCGATACCCAACATCAAGGTTTTTAAAATAGTATCTGAAACAAAGAAAAAAGAAAATTCATAAGCAAACCTGTATTTCCGAAAGATATGTTCCATGTTCTTCATTTTTAGATTTCAAGGTATCAGAATGCTTTGCGACATCCCTGAAACAGAAAAAAACTATTCTTGTCACAAAAATCCTATTGAAGAATAGTCGGTAGAAAGATGTTGATGAATATGCAATGCATCTTCGAAATAAGACAAGTTCTACTAATTCACCGTTTACAATCATCCATTTTCTGCCTTAAATCAGCAATCTCAGCTTCGGCAGCCGCCAACATTTGTTGTGAAACAGCCTCCGCTTCATTTGCTGCCTTAACACGCAATTCTAGATTCTGCTCATCAAGAGAGGATTGTAAACTTTGAACATGAGCCCAAGCCCTGTACTCCTGCTCCTTGGCTTCAGCTATGTCCCTGCAACAGCATAATATCCAGAGTGATGTTTAAG